ACTCCATAGAAGAGCCCAAACCTACAAAAGGTAGGATATATGGGATGCTCAAATCACAGTCTGTAGAGACATTCTGAACAAAACCAATTTCTTTCAAAAATCAATGAACGTTCTTACGTTTCTGGATGTTATCTTATTGTTATTTTCAGCATATTTCAGCATCAGACTGAGAAACCATTCGTAGAAATGTATTCCTTTATTCCTTCCATCAAGTTTGCTGAAGATCTTGAACTTATAAATAGCAAATATGTAACTAACTGTTGTTCAACATAACTTCGAAGCACTGGATCTCGTTTCTGTAGTATCTGTTCCCTTATATGACTGAAAACAAACATTATCAANTTCAAGGATAGGGCTGACTCCAAAGTGATTTGTGGAAGTTGACTGAAATGTAATGTTTCTCATTTGCTGTAAGGATGGCAGGTGACAGTACTGTATAACATGGGAAAAGCAACTCACATTAAAGATGTTTACCAATTTCTTGCTCACCCATGGCATGTTGACGAGATAAAACCTATGAAGACGACAAGACTGTAAGAAGTACAAGCTTTGAAAAATATAAAAGCATAAACATGATATTGGAGCAATAAAACAAAATAAATAAGTTATGTTCTATATCACACTTCTTCGATATCCATCGATTGAGACGCGCACAACATGGAAAAGGGCAGCGTTCAATCCCATTATACTGATATTGATCCGAGAGACTTATCACAACTCAAACTACATGACACTACAGAGGAAAACTGATCGGACTAGAGAATCTCTCAGTCTTGTTCTGTATGCGTTTTAGCAGATCTATCGACTGTACTCATATGACTATCTTCGATTGTATGGTTGTTGATAGTTTGAATACAAATAATGTTGAAAAGTAACTTCTTCTCGCAAGTAAGATGACTGAAACTTCTTTGGCATTTCGAGTGATCGCAGTTCAAGTGGAGCAGAAAGAAATTGGAGCAATGCTCTTCAAAGTTATAGAAAATTGGTTTCTTTTGATTCCACTCGTAGTGATTAGCGTCATGAACTGCATCAAAAGATTTTCATGAAGGCATGTGGAGAATATTTGACTTCCAAATAGAAACGAAATTGAAGAAGTTGGTAGTAATATGTGCAAATGGAAGCTCAATGTGCAAATTAGAGGAAATGTCTTCTTCCATACATTGAATATGC